TCTGGCTCTAATGTGCACTATGTGACATGTCCAGTGAGGTGGTCACATTAAAAATCAGGTCGTTTTGCTCTTAGCCGGCGCTCTGGACTGAAATGACCCCCTTTAAACTGCTCAAGCCACTAATGAAAGTCTGCAAGACATCTTAGACCATAAAACTCGAGCATTTATTATTTATTAGGTTGCAAAAGCCTGAATATATTACCAGAGATAAGTACTATCCAATTGCCTAAGAAATCAGTGCCTGAAAGACATCTATAGTCTTGTCAAACTCATTTATGTTTGATGGCACTCCTGTTTCAGGTCACATAATTTGCGTCAAATTCCAGTTTTAAAGCCTTGCAAAGTGCCGTTTTAAACATGTCTTAACTTTTACCACCTGATGTGATAATTGCAGTTGTGGTTTTGCACAACACAACCAGCATGAGATGGAAACATGTCTACAGTGGAGTACATACCTTTGGAATACCAGAAAAAAAAAAGTCATTTATTGTTATGATCTAATAAATCAGTACAGTAGAGCCACAGTATTCGGTGGGGGTTATGGACCACAGCCATCCACAAATACTTGAGACACCCTCTTAAAACACTTATAACAACCTATTTTAATAGTACAAACACAAAATATATCTTAATATGCACTATTATGCACATTGGAAACCACGTTAGCACTATTGCAGAAGCTGCTATTGTCTTGAATAGTATATAGTCAAGAATAATACAAATGAATTGTTTACATTTTCTAACAAATAAGAATCCAATTTCTAAAAATCCTTAATATGTTGTTTTCAGCTGTTGGCATGTTCATAATCCTCCACAAAAGATGAAAAGATTTTTTAAGGGGGTCAAAATCATAATTTATTTAATAACAAAAGCTGTCCTGTGTGAAAACAGTCCTTTGTCACAATCTTGTTCACTTATTAATAATCCTGTTAACGACCGAAGGACACCAGATACTCTTCTTAAAGTTCAATAAAAGGATACTATTCAGAAACTGATTGTTTTCACATAAAAACACTGAGAAGCAGCATGCCGTGGAGGGAAACAGCCCTGGCAGCTACGGTAAAAGACTATTCCCATTTCCCCAAACCTCAAGAGACATGAAGGATTTGGAATTCATTGCCAGATCTTATGCATAATTAAGCTAATCGTAACCCTTCCACCCTCCTATCCAGCTACATCCCCCCGAAAAGCTCATGGGATTTTCATGCTGCTGCTTTTTTTTACACTAACTCAGTCCTGTGAGCTCAGAATTGACCTCTCATTATCATTAACTCTGCAGATAATAATACCTCTTAACATAGTTTGGTCTATGACATGAACCTAGACTGCTGATTTTTATAATTTTTTTTTTTTCTTATTCCCTCCCCGTCATCAGACATATTTCCATGCGGCCAGCAAACCACAGGCCAGTTTCTGTGCAGCCTGCTGAGAGTCGACAAAAGATGGCTTTGTTGGAAAAGGAGTGAGAAGAAAGACCAAAGACTAACACTCTGTTCATGTTTTACTTAATCTGGTCCTTGCATGGAGTCTTGGCCTTTGGGGTAAAGCAAGTGATTCTCTGTTCTTTTTATTTCTTTTTTTACATCAGATTTGGTTTTGCTTTTTTAATCCCGAAGGTAAATCCACCACCACATCTCCATTTGTCTTCACCTTCTAACTCTCAGCCCCATAATGTGACTTTAAGCACCATTTGAGGACTATTAAGGTGACAACCCCTCGAGTGAAAGCTGTGCCTGTGAAGAATGGTCGTGGCTTTCTAATAATTGACGGCTGCAGAGGAGAGAAGTGGTTCGCTCGCTTTGCTATGCATCAGACGGCTTATTAAACATGCAACGTTTCTGCTTGGGGAGAGCGGAAAAACACATAAAAAGCAGCTCTCTGAACCACTCGATATCTTTGTGTTTGCTCTCTTGATACTGTGTGTTAACCTGCTAACTCTCACCCCTATATTTTTTTGCAGACATACCCAAAGGCGATATATATCTCTACCGTCCTCCTCAACCTTTCCTTGTCATGCTCCCCCTTCACTGAAATCAACCCAAACACCTCTGTTGCTTTTGTTGCTTTTCTGCTTATATGCAGTTCTTTACAAATCCATTGGTAGTCCTGTGTGTGTGCTTTTTGTTTGTCTTTTCACTTTTCTTTTTATATTACAAGAAGCCACAGTGTATTTCAGTGGAGTTATGTGCACAGACGTTCATAGATGCAAAGCTACACAGTCGCCTTAAACATAGAGCCAAACTACAACTGAATCAAAGACCATGTCATTTTTAAACTGAAGTTAAACAACAATTTCCATCTGTTCTAAATAAGCATGAGCTATTCTTCAAAGCTAGTAGAGACAAAGAGATAAGAGGTGGTTCTTCAAAGTGTAAACTCAGGGGGGTTGTAAACAAATGCACAACACACTTCTTAGAACAAAAATGTTGAAAATCATGCATCTTTTTTCTTCCCACTTCCCAGTTATCCCCCACTTTGTTTCACACTCTGTGCACTTACACACTGCATCACTTTACCTTATATTACCCATGCTGTCATTTCCTCAGCAGACCATTATAAAAAGGAGTTGCAGTTATGAGTAACCATATGCGACTGAAAAGAAGCAGTGACAGATTAATCTGTTTTGCTTTGCCTTTTATAGCCAGATGTTTTCCTCCATATGTCATAGGTCCGTCGCCCTGAATGATTTAATCTCAGCCAGACAGAGTAATGTTGTTTCTCTCATTTAGATGCCGAACCCTAGCTTGTAAACTCATGAGTCCAAAGACACCATTGGTATATTGGAAAGATTCATTTCTCTATAAGCAACAAGCGCTGTGCAGCAGATGTGAACAGAAAGCTGGGCTGCTTGGCATGACACACGTTAACCTTTATCTTCATCTGATTATCAGGACTTTCCAACCCCCTCCACAGTCACAATATATTTATTTTCTTTAACTTAGCACTAAAAAGTAGAACCCCCAAGGCGATATGTATTTAATGCATTCCCTAAATTAGCCTAGGCTTACTGCATTGTTTTCACTGTAATGAGAAAAGCTTTAAAAATGGGCAAAAAAAGCAATGCAGTTCAAATTTACTGAATCCAGAAAAGCTACAAAGGCCATTAGTGATTCATCATCTAATGAAGAACTGCTATTAAGAAAAAGGCATAAAGTTTCAAGTTTTTATTTTTTTTGCCTAATCGGTAATTCACTGTTAAGTTAAATACAGGTCATCTTACAATTAGGTGTCCTTCTCTTCTGAGCTTTAGGGAGCGTGTAGCTTGGTGAATTCTGGTCATAGTGAGAAAAAACAACACATTAAAATGAGAATGAGTGAAAGATGAAAACAAAGAAGTGGGTTCTGAATGCTTCAGAAACTCTGAGGTGTTGCTGAAAACCCAAGACATTCGGACTCTGATAAAAGGTTCTCAGCGAACATTTCTCTGATTTCGCTTCGAAACTCCTGTTGACAGAGCAAAATAAAATGGAAATACCTTTATTTTTATGTATTTAGTGTACATGGCTAAATTTGGTGAAAACTAATCTCACTATATCAGTTTAGATGCAAAGCAAACTTGTCATCTCTTGTATATTTTTAGCTTTCAAATATAATAAACGGTGGAACATTTGACTTTTTTTTTAGCTCCAATTAAATCACATCTTCAACATATATTTTGATACTGAGCATAATTAGCCAATTTGATTATCAGAAGCACCTTTCAACCATATTTAGACATGAATTGGCATCATACAACCACCCACTGTCTTCCAAATTCAGTCAGGAGTAACAAGTCCACTAATCCTGGGAAATACCGGCCGAGACATTCCTGGGCCAGGAGCAAAATATTGTCCATCCAGTGTGCTCTGCTGGATGATCTTTACAATTACTATCCAGGAGTTTTTAATCCATTTGACAATTTTTGCGAGTATTTTGCAAATAAAAATCTTACAAATGTACAGAATTCTCCTTCAAATCAGATAAACTCTCCTCAAAAATATTTGTGTCGCCTGTGTGGATACAAAAACAGGACAGTGGAAGCGGACTGGTTGAAACAACAAATAAATCATACAACTTCTTAGAGTTCTGTGGAAAATAGTTCAACAAAGTGTTGAGAAGGGGACACCCTTTTGGCATATTGTTTGACGCTTATCTTTGAACAGAACAGCACAATTTTTGTCGCTCATCTTTGTGAATGAGAACCGATTTCAATGCTTCAGATGCAGCATGGGCGAGCCTTAAGGGTGAGCCGCACCAGTCTACAGGGGAAGCTAACTGCAGCTGCTTCTGTACAGAATCGTACGTTTTGGTGTCACAATCCTAGTTGAGGGTTGGGGAGTAGAAGTACTGAAAAATCAAAAGCTTTACGTTTTGGCTCTTATTTTTCCTTATTATGGCACTCTTGAGATTTGTCTATGTTACTGCAACGGCTCAACCCATATGTCAATGCTTCATTCTTCTGTCATTCATAAACAAGACACCAAGATACTTGAAATTCTTCACTTAGGATCTTAAGGTGCAGATTTCCCCTAATGCAGGATGTCTTTATGTGAACATCTTTTCAACAATTTCACCTTTTTAGTCTTTTTGGGCACATGTGTTGCTTTAGGGAATCTCTGAGTCAAGTAAGAAGAAAATGAACAGTTCCTTTGACTGCAAATCTATGTACATGCGGCTGTTCCAGAGATCTGTGTTTGCAGTTGCCTATGGCAAATATTGTCTGTGTGTTTGCTCTGCTGGTTGCAGTGGAATGAGGGGGATTTCATATTTGTCTTGAAACCAAAGAGTGGCAGCTGCTCTTCAGTCTGTGGGGAAAGTTTTGTGATAGTGTTTTCCAGACCTTCTCTCAAGTCTGTGTCTGGCTTTGAGGTGGTCAGAAGACCCTAAATGGATTATATGAACAACCCAAAAAGAAAGCAAGACTGTTTGATGCCAAATTATGTGTAATTTTCACTTTTTAGTACATTTTATAGCTGTTTATTCTCTGACTGGCTTCTCACTGAGTCTTTCATGCTCTGCAGGTCTTGGCCATGGGGGGATCCAAGAGTAAGCCCAAAGACATTGCCCAGCGAAACCGCAGCCTGGACAGTAACATCAGCTCAGGGGGAGGGGCTGGCAGTCTGCACCACAACTCGGCTCAACAGTCAGCGACACCCAACCGCAGCCCGATTGTGGACACGGATCCACAATTAGTGACCAATAATGCCGGACTCGTTCTGTTTGGAGGTGTGGACAATAACAGAACAACTCCAACAGGTGAGATGTCTTAGACTTTGGTATTTTACGGCATCATTTAGTTCCTAATTAAAGCCCATTTATCTGTTTTTTGCATAAGGTGTGACGGCATTTGTGGCCTTGTACGACTACGAGTCCCGAACAGAGACAGATCTGTCTTTCAAGAAGGGGGAGCGTCTCCAGATACTAAATAACACGTAATATACACAAAGAAAACATAAACAATACATCATGACCTTACCGCATTCTTACTCTTTTTCCTTTCGAAGTCCCTCCACAAAGCTTTCAATTACATTAGGTTAAAATATTTCCCACTCCAGTTTCATAAATTTTCAGACTATCTAGTCTAGTGCCTTGGCACACCTTTGCAATGACATAGTGATTGTGAAATGATATGAAATATTGTTTGTTATTCCTAAGAGCTGGGCATTCCGCAAGACCTACTTATTTACTGAGTGGAGTGCTAACCTATGTAAAAGGGAGGGTCATGCTTGTTTTTTCACTTGTGGATTATCAATAGAGGTGCAGTGAACCATATACAGTGTACACAATCCTGTTCACCCAATAAATTGCTGACCTAGAAGGCAGAAGCTTTGAACAATAGTGGATTATAGCTGCGTCTGGCACCTTGAACCAAACTGGATCATCGAGTTTGAGTTTATAGATTAGATTAATTAGATTAGATTAATTAATTAGATTAGTTTTTGAAGAAAAAATGATGCTCAACTATCTAGTTTTCTAGTTAGATTTGTTATTATTGATGGATATCAAGCTCTACCTAGCTAGCTAACTTGTAAGCTAGTTGGCTAAGTAGCTTATAAGCCATGAACCATAGCTAACTTACAAGTCCTGAAATTTGAGTTTGCAAAAGTTTGGAATCTGTAAAGGTTTGGAAAGCATTCAGGAGAAATCCAGAAGCATTTTTTTTTAAATAATACATTATCTTAAAAATAATACTAATAATAATAATAATGCGTCTACATTTTCTCCTTCAGTCCTGATTATTCAGTAGGGAAAGTGTTTGATACTTCACACTGATCTGTGATGTTAGCCTTGCTGCTCCTAACTTGCTCTCATTTTTTCCACTTTTTTCCCCTTCATTTTTTCTTTCATTTTTGCATCATGAACCATTATTTGTTTATAGGAGGAAGATAAACTGCAGGTTTGTTAAGCTTTTTCTGGAATTTTGAATTCATACTGAACGCCTGACCTCGTTTGTTTGTCACGTAGTCCACATCCTGTGTAATACCACTTCATCACATAACTCTGCCCTTGGCCCAGAAATCCTTGTTACAGTAATCCAGGGGAGCTGATGCAAAGCCTTGCAGCACTATCACTGCCATAGGTCAGCTAGAGGTAATGAGAGTGAACCTTGTTTTGCCCCAAATTCACTCAGTAAAGATATTGCTGCAAAGCTGCAGCAAACCAGTCTCTGACAAATCATACAGCAACTGCATCTCCTCTATTTCATACCCACATGAATGCATGACTGTATGATTTTATGGCTTCAAACTAGTGTTTGTTTTTAATTTAACAGTAGAGCAACCACGGCTTATGTTTATCAAGCTTCTCTAGGGCCAAGAGCTCAACCATGTCTAAATGTAGCTTCATTTGAGTTTACCAGTGTGACCAAAAATGACAGTGTCGCTTTGATTCATGCTTTTAGAGACTTGATAAACCTAAAATGGATCTTTGTGTATCTGATGTGTGACGAGCCTTGGTTTAAATGCTAAGTCTTATCATTTTATCTGTGCAGGGAAGGGGACTGGTGGCTAGCGAACTCCCTGACCACCGGAAAGAGCGGTTATATCCCCAGCAATTATGTGGCTCCATCTGACTCCATCCAGGCAGAAGAGTAAACCCCTTCATTTATTTTTTCTACATGTTCTGTTTTATCTGTGTCTCACCAAGAGCGATGATGATCCACTCCCTAATTCTTAAAGGCTTTCTCTCTTGGAGCTTTATGTTATTTTGAAATTACTTTTTGAAGAAAAGGTCTAAGATTTTGAGAAGTTAAAACATTGTTTTTGATTAGCTTGGCATAGCTTGGACTGCTGCATCAAATAGCTTGAAAACTGATTAAATCTCGCTACCCATACCTCTTAAATCAACAATGATTATACAAACAACAGCTTGGCAAAGAGCTAAATTATTTCCATAATGTGTTTACAGTAGACTTCTGGTACTCCACCATTAAAACCTTGGTGGTTAATTGTCAAGACAATGCTAAAATGCCTTGCAGTAGTTTAGCACTGCTGATTCTGGTTCTGGTTTATTCAAAGGCAGTGCAAAATATTGCCCTAAATGTGTGTTTTTATAATTCTCCACCTCATGACTTGGAGTGTTTGACTCCTACAGCATGTAAAAATAATGAGCACATAATTTTTCCCAGCACTTTATAAAAAAACATTGTTTTTTTGTAATTATTATTTTATTCTTCATATAATTGATGTATTGTGGCAGAATTATTACACCTTTGACATGTTAGCTACCGTTAATGCAATCTGCAGTCATAAGCTATTTCTCTCTGATTCCTTGCTTTGATGCAGAGACATTTATGGACATTTCTGTTTTGACTCTTCAGCATTGTCTTACCAAAAAAATTATTCCAAAATATCTTAACTTAAACTTTGTGTGGGTGCTTAGAATTTTCTGAATTTGCATGCCTACCTGCTCGCCTTTGCAGCATGATGCATGAGCTAACCTTTATCTGTAACTGCCTCCTTTTTCACTTTTCCCTTCTGCTGCATCAGTGATCTCAAACTGACACTAGATTCCAGGTAAGCAGCGTTTACTGGAGAAAGAAATACTGAATGAATATCAGGGCTTCCAGTTCATAATTGCAGTTTTATGCGGGTAGAACAGACTTTATTTTCTCTGCTGCTTTTTGTCTCTTTACTCATACTCTCCACTCCACTTCACTTTTTCCCCAAACAGATTGGTTTTTAACACTTTGAAATCAATCAAATGAGTAATCTTTTCAAAACAGACTTGTTGCTTTGCTACGTTGAAATGAAGGAAAACATCAAACTAATAAATTACTAACTAATGCATTAAATGTGTGAAAAAATAAGAAATTTGTCACTTTTCCAATGCTTGTGTTTGGCATCTACTTTCAAGCTTCATTTGAGAGAGACAAAATAAACTTTAACAGTCTACTAGATGAATTCATAATTTGTTGCTCTAATTCCCACATATGTTCTGCTCCCTGATGTCTTGGATTTGCTGTGTTTGTCTTTTTTATTTGTACTCTAGATGGTTCTTTGCCAAAATCACACGCCGCGATTCGGAAAGGATGCTGCTAGCTTTAGAAAACAGAAGAGGGACTTTCGTGGTGAGAGAGAGTGAGACCACCAAAGGTCAGTGCTTCACCTTTCCCATTCAGTCTGTTGAGTTACGACTGCAAAATTAAAACAGTGATTTGAATTCCCAGAGATTCCTACCACCTAATTTAAATTGTGTTTCGTGCTCTTAGATTGTAAATATAAAATCTTCTCACAAAACTAAGTTAAATTTTATTTTTTTAAATACTAAGGCAAAAACACTAAAATAGGCTGCCACCAATTAAAATTAAATGTATGAAATAAAATATTTAAGGTTTTGAAAACAACAGTTTAAAATCAATTGGATTTTATATCAGAAGCACTATATGAAAACTGAATTATATTTGCTTTTACTTAGCAGATATGTGTTACTTAATTCAATTGGTTCGCTGGAAAACCAAACATTTAGCTGTTCTGGAATATTCAGGTATTGTTTAACACAATGCCAAGATGGAAAAACACCATGATCTTAAAAAAACATCTGTGAAGAGTTGTCAAGACAAATTATTCAAAAAGTTTAGCTAAATTATTGACAATTGGAAAACTTTGACGAGAGGGTCCTCTCTCAAAATCTCTTCTTTCTAAATATGACCTGTGCAACAGTTTGGGATTGTAAAGTTTCATCTGAACAACAAATTATAACATTTTATGGTGAGGACAATAAAGAACCAGTGGCCATGATCATCACCTTCCTACTAAATATTTGGACCTGGGAAGCAGGGTTTGTTCTCAGGTACTGATTAACAAAACCAGGTGAAATTCCTTTAATGTGCAGAGTTTTAGTGGACTTGTGCCCTCTTCCACATGTTTAGTCTGGTGAAAACTTGTAAAAAGTAGCAGAAAAATTTAGAAAAATTTAATTTAGTTCATTTATTAACACTAGTTTATATATATTATCACCTCCATATATATGTCGAGATTTAGAGGGACATTTGTAGCAAGCACTCACATTTGGAAAGACAAAAAGAACATACTTTGTTTGTCTTTCTAACTCAGTAAATGGCTACAAAACATTAGGTGTTTCTCCAAACGTGTCCATGTCTGGAGTCAAAACAATAAATAAAAGTCTTAGACAAAGATGGCAAGATAGGAACTAACGTGTGTCTTACCACCATTCAAAGTGATGAGGAAGGAATAGGAGCAAAGATGCGTTTTTGTGATAACATCACATAAATAAACACTTCTCAGACTTTTAACTGTAACTATGTGCTTTAATTAGATTCCGGCTGTCTGCAGCAAACTCCCAACATTGTATGTAAAAACAAAGATAAAAGATACCGAGAAGCACCCCTTAAGAATGGTGGAGGATGTGTGATGCTGTGGGCTTGTCATCATTCATTTTTTTAAATTTCAAGAGATTTAAAATAAAAATCTGATTGTCTTTGCGAGAAATGTAAAAAAATGGATCAAATTTGACCTAATCAAGAGAAAAATGGTTCACAAGTCACAAACAACCTTCTTCCATTAGCGTATCAACAGCATGACATACCCAAAGGTTTTAGAAAATAAATAATAATGCAATTTTCTTCTCTAAATAAAGAGGTTAGAGGTTGAAATTCTGTAGCTACAATAAAAGATTAATGTCTTTTATAGCATTTTGTACATCGATACTGACGTTGTCAGTACATGTGGAGGACTGTGTACTTATAAAATGTTCAGACTTCAACATGAATCTCAGTTTAAACTCTGTGCAATTTGAACAAAGAGGACATAAAGGAAACTTTAAGCAATGAGGCATGTTCCCCCACTGTTCACTGCACTCCCTGCTGTGTTCTTGTAAAAGCGTTTGTACAGAAGAAAACCCATCAGGTGGCAGGGGAAAGGTTGGATGTGACGCTCCTGTAAAGTAACGGGGCTCCTGATAGGCAGCTGCTGCATCCACAGATACAGACACTGAGATCAGGTTGAATGTAAATTAAATGGATGTAAAACGGGATTCAAATGATCAGCCTTCTTTTAACCTTCGTTATAATCAGCTGTTTCAGTGCTCATCAGTCCAAATGAGAGAAAAGGAGGGAGATTGATTAGAATCAATAGGGAAGAACTGGTTGGATGAGGGAAAAACACAGAATTTAGGTCAGTGTGGAGCTGAAGCTAAGAATTGTACAACCACAAGCCACATCATCCAGTTCAAACAGAGGAAGTGGGGGAAGTGGCCTTGGGCCTGGATGTTTCACTATTGGTTGTGTGCGCTACGACTGCTCCCTCTTGTGGTGAAATCAAAACATTGCACAATGCGAAATTTTGGGCATTTTTAGTGCTGTCAATCGCTTGAAAAAAAATCAGATTAATCACACTCAAGTGCTGTGATTCATCACGAATAATCCTTATGCCTAACTTTGTGAGCAGCAAGTTTTGAAAAAAAAAAGTAAGAAAATGTTTCATTCTCTCAAACCAAACTGAAGATTCTCAGTTTTTCAGGTCTTTATATTCCAAATATTTCAGCTGCCTGAAGCGTTCGGTTCCTACTCTGGAATATAGGAAATAATTATTCTTTCAAAAGCTCATTGACTGTGTTTATTCATCTCATCATGGGTGACAAATCTTGTGGATTTGGAAACAGTTGCTCGTAAGTTACATGGAGACAGTCGTCTGAAATAATCTGTCCCATTCCGCACCATGAGAACCAGGTTTATTTTTTCATTATTATTTATTTATTTATTTTAGAGTTTTGTTGTGGTTGTTTATTTAACAACAGCTGTCGATTTACACTGTTACAACCTTGACAGAATTATGTGAGTTTATAGAGAAATCCATCAGGAGTGCAGTGAAAATTGTCGGATTCACATCTCTGGCTGCAGAACGTTCTCCTGACACAGAGGGTACAGAATTTCATTCACCACGTAATTTGGTCATGTGAAATTTTGAGTGCTTCATTAAATTTTTACAGACATTTTTCACCTTTTGGTGTCGTTTGTGTTTGTCTAGCCCTAGATAACCCTCCGCGGTACAGTCGCTTTTAGCACACATTAAAATTTTCAGACAAACCTTACGCATTAACGTTAACTTATCTATTTTTTTCCTTCCAGGTGCTTACTGTTTGTCAGTGTTGGACTGTGACAACACCAGAGGGCTCAACGTGAAACACTACAAGATTAGGAAGCTGGACAGCGGGGGCTTCTACATCACATCCCGCACACCATTCGCCACCCTGCAGCAGCTTGTCAATCATTACCGTAGTGAGTTCTGGGAGAACGTTTCCAACTCAGTCTATCAACTAAAACGTTTATTATTTTTTAATAAACGCTGTGTCCTCCTCAGAGCATGCCGACGGTCTGTGTTACACTCTGACGGATGTTTGTCCCGTGCTGAAGCCTCAGACTCAGGGCTTATCCAAGGATGCCTGGGAGATCCCGAGAGAGTCGCTTCGCCTGGAGGTCAAGATGGGGCAAGGCTGCTTCGGAGAAGTCTGGAGAGGTAGGTCATACAACATATTTCCTACTTTTCCGTAATAAAAATAGCTGGTTCTCTTTATTCCACTGGTACATTTTTAAAAAAGATTTAGCAACCTGACATCTGCTGTAAACATAAATCAATGTCTTTCATTATTAGTGCATAATCACAATCTGACACTGGAAATGTATAAAATTCAATCTTTAAATTAAGAGCATTTACTATAATTATGTATTATTACTACTTGTGGAATAGAATAGGATCAGCCTTTATTGTCTCGCAAAGAGGAAATTCAGGTATAACAACAGCAACAAATACAAACATTCACACAAAAAGTTTTTGAAGTTATAAAAAAATAAGATTGTGAGGAGAGAAGAGGAGTGGGGAGAGAATACACCCCTGAGGAGCACCGGTCCTGATTATTCTTGTGCTTGTTGCTAAATGCTACTGAAGTGTAAGTGAAAGTGAAACTTTATTATAGGCGCAAAGCATTTTTAAAAAGTGAAAAATAAAACCCACAGCATTACAAATTTACATCCAGGTTAAAACACCAATGATTCAACAAGTTTGAATAAAACCAAACTGTGCTTTGATCAGACTAAACTTATTAAATATAAAGTTTGCACAGTAATTTATTTTCCTTAAATATTGAATAATTTAGCAAAATTTGAATAATAAATCTGGAAACCCTTGAACATTTTGCACAAAAACGTTTTCAACTTCTATGAATGTCATTTGTATTAAAGTCTGCTCTTCACAATAAGGGCATTTTTTGCCATCCTGTTATCTTTCTAACACCTTAATAGGACACTTTGCAACTCGTGGCTGAAAGTATGAAGGAAGTCCTGAGTTGTTACACATGTGTCATTGATAGTGGATCTGCTTTTCATCAGGAACGTGGAACGGCACCACACAGGTGGCGATCAAGACGCTGAAGCCCGGCACCATGTCCCCCGAGGCCTTCCTGCAGGAAGCTCAGGTCATGAAGAAACTGAGACACGAGAAGCTGGTTCAGCTGTACGCCGTGGTCTCTGAGGAGCCCATCTACATTGTAACAGAATTCATGGACCAAGGTCAGCATGCTAACATTTTAGACCCTATAATTGAATTTCTCCATGAAATTTTCTTAGTTGTTTAAAGACTTGCAGCGTTTAACAAACTCCTCTACAAACAGGCAGCTTATTGGAGTTTCTGAAGGGACAGTATAGTGCAATGCTCCGTCTCCCTCAGTTGGTGGACTTTGCCTCTCAGGTCAGAATATTTTCTTATCATAAGTTTAAGATGCTATACCTTTTTGATTTTTTGTTGTTGTTTTTGGTAATAAACCCTAAATGTTGCCACCTTTCATCAGATTGCTTCAGGAATGGCCTATGTAGAGAGAATGAACTACGTTCATAGAGATCTCCGCGCCGCGAACATCCTGGTTGGAGATAATCTGGTTTGCAAAGTGGCTGATTTTGGTTTGGCTCGCCTGATTGAGGATAACGAATATACAGCCAGGCAAGGTGAGTAGTAAAAGTCCTAAGCCTCATAACTTGTGGCGCCACTTTAGAAGCAACTGCCATCTGTAATAACGACCAGTCAGTCTTTCACATTGCTGTGGAGGAATTTTGACACACTTTTCTCAAGAGAATTACAGGGTTTAATGTTTAATCTTGTTTAATGTCACACTACGACATCTCAATCATATCTGTTTTGGGGATTTTTGGACATTCACAGTTTGTGCCATGGAGGCCATTTTGCCTGGTTTCATTCTTATTGTTGAATCTTCAATATTGACCTGAATTGAGGGGAGTGAAACCTGCAGAACTTTAGATGTTGATCTTTGTTCTTTCATTACTTCTTTCAAAATATGAATGCATCCAAATTTTCTCTATATGTGGATGGATTCATATCTATTTACAGACTGAGAGATGTCAATAACTTTGTTTCCCACCTGTATGCATATTTCTTCCATGGTGTGAGGCCTTTTGGCATCTTTTAGCCAAGTTAATTTTGTCATACAGGTTCTATTTGAGTGATGTCTTCATTCTAAAAGTTCATGCTGGTGTGTAGCTGATAAAATTTAAATTAGCTTTCCAAAAAAATGTTGCTGATCATGATGAAAGCATGCTTTAACGGGGGGTCGGAGGGTATTTTTCCTCTCAGGGCTGATGTGGATAGCACTAACATTTGTAAACTGTTTTATATTTACTAAGCACAGTAATTCAGCGCATGCAGCGATTGATGCACTATGAAGTGAAACTGATTATTAGTCAGGTTCATCCAGATTCCAACGCGCACTTACAGGCAGAAACTGCAGAAAGTTACTGACAGGAGGAGGTAACTGGAGCCAAACACAAATGTCTGTCAGACAGTTACTGTAAATAATGGCTTGACTCACCCAGATTGATGGGATGAGGAACTTATTTTGTGTTAAACTCAATTATTTATTTCTTCAACCCATTAATACAGCCTAAAACTATGACATAAAAAATCTTTTAGTAATGACAACAATGATTGCTTTAAAATGTTTGTAAAATTTCCAAGTGTTCTTTTTTCTTCTAGAAGCTCCATATAAAAACTACTTATTTCACAAAAGTTTAAAAATATATTTTTTCCATGCTAATTTTATGCATTATTTACAAAAATAAAATAAAACTAAACCACAAAATTTCTTTTGATGCTTCTCTAGCCAGTTAAAGTGATTTGATGACATGATGAGGATGCTACCCAGACAACTTTGAATAGAACATATTAGAAAATTAGTAATTCAGCAGCATCGATGTGCATAGGTTCACTCAAAAAACATATAAAGTATACATTAAAAACAAGAGAAAAGATTTGAGTTTGGACTCTGAACTTCCTGTAGGAGAGTCTCTTGGTTCTGAATTTTCTGTCTGTGTCCCAATCTTGAGATAAGCATTAGAAAGTAGAAAGAAAAATATTTTCTTTAATATATCACACAATCCTTACTAAGTTTAGCTGTTTAATCCAATTTCAGACACTGAAATTCCTTCAATTTTAAGTTTCTGTGAAAAAACCTTTGCAGTGCACCTGCTGCATGTCCTCGCTCGGTTTGAATTTGTCATAGCCTGTTTCTACATTCGTTTAACTGGAACGGTGACTGGTGAAGATGAAGCGGTAGATATATGCTCAGCCAGAATGAAATGGCAGTTCTGACGTAAACCTCTATGCTGAAAGCTGTGGGTGGTGATACAACTGGTTTCTCTTTAAAACAAGCAGCTGGGTCACATGTCAACATCATGAGGCTCAAAAGTTACTGACGAACATGGAAACTGATTCATGTTGTTGCTTCCCAGTGTTTTTCACTCTCCCAATCCTTTCCTGGAACAGCATTCCTTAAAATCATGAACAGCTTATCACAAATCATCTGTAGCTGATATTTGATGTTTTTAAAACTTAGTTATATGTATCGCTAACTCCTATGGCAAGTCAGAATCTTCAACTCTTGTTGACCTCATTTATTATCCATCTCTAATTCCATTAAGTTGAAGATCAGATTTTGTAAGGCAGCTTTGTACGAGTCATTGATTTCCTGGCATGCTAATCAATCTGTTTTCCTGCAGGCGCCAAGTTTCCTATCAAGTGGACGGCTCCTGAGGCGGCGCTGTACGGACGATTCACTATTAAATCTGACGTCTGGTCATTTGGGATCCTGCTGGTTGAACTGGCCACCAAAGGTCGCGTGCCCTACCCAGGCAAGGCTCTTTTTCTCAGACCTCGTTTCATGACATCAATACTTTAGGCATTCTATCATCATGTGTGCAAAGCAGTCAGGTTAAAGAGAAAGTACACCCTTTTTCAACTATAAGTAGAAATAGTAGTAGTAGTTTCTAATTCTCAAATATGTGTGTGTAGGGTAGAGGGGAATAGTTAATCATTTCAGATCCAAAACTTAAAAGGTTTCACATGTTTGCCTTATTGAATGAAAGACTTCTCACTTGCTTATTTGAAAAGAATTTGCTAAAAGGAAAGGATTTAGCTCACTACATCTTTGAAATTGCTTAGTCATTTTTGCCAAGTTTGCAAAATGTAATAAAAGCATATCTAGCTGCAGTAAAAGTCACTGGACAGAGGTGTCCCAGAATACATGTTATTGATCCATAAGGGAAAGTTGCTTATTTGTTTGCAAGTTAATTCATCCAAAGTATAATTTAGATAAAATTTATATAAAGAATACAAAAAGCAAAAGAAAGAAACTGAAATACTTGTGCCTTACTTAACATTTTTCCAAGTACGATTTGATTTTGTCCTTTTTATTGAAAAGTAAAAGTAAGTAAAAACCCTTCAGGGCCAGGTTCAAATCATTCCTAAATTCCAGTCTTGGACCGGACAAAATCAGTCAGGGTCCTCAAATGGCCCTGGAGTCGCAATTTGGACACCACTCTTATACTTAAACGTGTAGTAGAGAAAGTGGGGGCACTTTCTTTTTTTTCACTGTGCAGAATGATGAACTCTTAAGGTGTGGTTTGTCATCCTAGGCATGGTGAACAGAGAGGTTCTGGATCAGGTGGAGCGCGGCTACAGGATGCCGTGTCCGACTGAATGTCCTGCTTCTCTCCATGAACTGATGCTGAACTGCTGGAGAAAGGAGCCCGAGGAGAGGCCCACCTTCGAGTACCTGCAGGGCTTCCTGGAGGATTACTTCACCTCCACTGAGCCTCAGTACCAGCCTGGGGATAACCTGTAACCAGGCTGTTTGGATATGCAAACATGGACATGCATGTGTGGGAATAAAGGGGCAGAGATCAGCATCAATCGGGGTACAATCACTGACCATTTTTGTTTTTATCTCAAAGTTATTAACTTTTTTCATACATTTTTATCCAGAGAATCTTTAAAAAAGTGCAAAATAATTGTTTAATTGGTTTCTCTGGCTGTTATGGAATATGATCAGTGAGTCAAACTTGGGAAGTATTGTTCTGCTGATACGTTTTTCAGACAGACGTACATTTTTACCACATTTTCTTTCACATACAATTTGAAACAAGCTCAGACTGTCTTCCTTTGAGCCTATAATAATTTCTTATGACGTTGTGGATCTGGTTAATTTTGAACTTATTTCACCCTGATCAACTGGAAATGTGTCATAGCTGCCATGGGGTTCATACAGCTGTTTCTGGTCAGAAAAGGTCAACTCAGGATGAGGGAAAGCAAAACTAATCTGCTGCAAAGATTTTTGTGCCAATGAAAATCTATTTTGTACTCTATTTTTGTTCTATTTTTGGTACTTTTCTTATAACAAAAAAAACGATGTTGTTGCTCTGAAAGGGTGATCCACTGCTCCTTCTGTGTATAGATTTTAATGTGCTGAGTTTTCAAATTATTTTAAGTCTCCTTTCATTTTAAGATTTGTTTTTTCTTCAGCACTGCTATGTATTTTTTTTTTCTTCTTAGTGCCATCCTGAGCACACTTTTACACTGGAGATTTTTTTTGTTTCTTTGTTTTTTGTTTTATTTTATTTTTTTATTTTTTTGGGGGGGGGGACAAATGAGCAACAGGTGTTCACTGTGGTAATGCCTCTCTATCACCTGCAGGGGGCAGACCATAGTGGATTCCTGTTCACTCACACTGTAAGCATGTGCAGAAAAAAAATGGCATTTCAAAACTTAATTGTAAATATCTTTGATGCTAATAATTTGTATATATCAACTTTTCTTATTTATTCATTTTAAATTAACCCAATTTTTGATTTTTTTCTTTCAGCACATGTGCATATTTCTTCTTGTTTACAATATTTTTTATGGGATAAATAACATGAAGCGCATATAAAAATTTCATTACAAGTGTTTTGGTGCATATTTCAATAAAACTGACCTTAATATTTTCTCAATGAGTGAAGAGGTGAGTTTGTGACTCATTTAAAGTACTACAGATTTTTGAAGAAACTGAGCTTTGCTGACCTTCCTCTCCATTTTGTCGCCTTTTCAGCATGCTGACTAACAATAAATTGATTGAAATTGCTTCCAATTTGTACTCCCATTTAATGTTTATTTGCAAAGCAAAAAATGCATGTTTGTATGCACTGTTTGTGTCTTCTGTGGGGGTTTTTAGGTCTCCTTCCTGCCTGTGCAGATATTTTTGTTTTAAATCTGCAGGTTTCCTACATATACTGTATTCTTTTTCTACCATATTCTGCTAGTATTTTCACATAAATAACTCTTTGTGAAATTCTACCCTATACTGTTCAAAACTCAAAGTAAATTTGAATAAAATTTGTACATTGGCAGAAATGTTGTTCTTTTCTCTTTTTTTATAGTGTTTTAAACCAGAACTACTTGTTCTGTTGAAGATCAGATTGATCTCACACTCTTCTGAGCAAAAGCATCTGAAGTCAAAGTGGTGCTTTGCAAACACTACAGATATTTTTGTGATAGTAGGACTGAAATATGTTTTCCCCAAACAACCCGTTGTCTTGTTAGAATCAAATGGTTGCTACAGAGACAAGGCTGCAGGCTGGGCACTGATTTTAACTTTGTTTTGAATGGGAGTTTTAGTCACAGTTTTTTCTTTGGTCTCACTAAAAAAATCCTTGAAAAGTACATTTTTGTCTTCTACATGTTGCAGTTTTTATTTTATAATACCCCTGATTACATGTAGAACTGAATGTACACTTCAGCTTCAGTCTAAACCAGAACAGGTTGAACTGAACAGCATTAAATAAACAAGTGGGGGACAAAATTCTCAGTATAACTTCCAACCTCATCCATGCATGACATGAAAACAGACAATTAGCCAGGAAGTGTAGCATCAACCTCTCCCAAACACCAGTTCTGCATGTTTGGTCTCAACAAAGATGTTAACAATGGTGAGCACGAACAAAGAAACTGACATTCATCAACATCCAAAATGCAATAAATGAAACTAAAACAAACTTCTGACTCACCATTTACTTTAAACTCAAAGTATGCCTACGTGTCAACAGTAAGTCAAACCATACACAAACAAAGCAATGACAGGTGAGGGCTGTTTCAGAAATCCTGCTTTTGTGAGCCTATATTTAGCCTCAAATATAACAAAAACACATAATTATCATGCCATACATGGAGTTACCTGCTAGCTGCTTTAATGAACAACTTTAAGTTTATAAATGTAAGTTTATAAAGTAAATATTATCACTTGTGAATCTGAAAACAGCTTCATTTGTGTTTTTTTATTATTATTATTACACATCTTATCAATAGTTATACAGAATAAACATGACAAGAGGGCTCGCAGCTGGTAAAGGACACCCACAATGTACACTTAGTTTTAACTTCCTGTTTGAGTTGCATGCTTTTATCTTGAAGAGACAACTTCCTGTTTAACTGTTAGCACTACGATAGCTTAATGGCAATCAAAAGAAAGAAAATAAGTTTGATCGGAGTTTATAAAATGCGTCTTGTCATTAGTACCCCATTCGATAGAGGTACAAGGTATGTTTATGATATAAATAAGTACATGTCTTATATATTGTGTGTTTTAAACTGTGCATTTGTTTAATTATATGCCCAAACTAAAGTTAATTTACGTAGTAAATATTATTTTAAGCTAAGTTAACATTCTCCATCCTTTATTTCTACTATTAATACGGCGCACACTGGTTTCTGATCGACGTAAGCGTTTACTGAACAAATAAGACACGAAGAAAACTAAAAAGTTAGACTGTTAGCCTGACGTGTAGCATGCTAGCCACGCAAGATGAATCACTATGGTAACGGATGTGCTCCTGCTTTGATTTCCCAGTTTCATCCTCGATCTTGATTTTGTGAAACATCCCTGTGGTGTTTTCTGGTTATTAAATAAAGACATAAAATAAACTACTATAGAATCTTAAACTAATTCAGCAGTATGTCCAAAGACTCTATAAGAAAGATAAATAAATATTCAAGAATATGAGTTTTGTTGTGTTTGGATGCCAGCAGAATGAGAGGTAAAGTATAAATGATCAAATGTTTTTACTATGAACATAATTTTCCCATTTTGTTAGGATTTTGATTCATTTGGGATGTATAAATCTGAATCTGTGAAAACACCCAAAATCTGGCAGATTTAGATAAAATTTTAGAAGTTTGCTTCTAAAAGGAAATGAGACAAATTATGATAAGCTTTGTAAAAGGACTATCAATTTTTAAATTGTAAATGTTCTTACACTGTATTTCTTTTTCTCTTATACTAAAATATCCCATTGACAATAACTTCCATTAGTAGTTCATATTTGTCTCATCTGGCTGAAGATTGTGATCTGCATTTTATTCATCTAAAGAAAACCTTTAATTATCTTTCAATTCTAATGTTTCTATTTATTAAAATGATGTAAACAAATATGCATGTATAGATATTTGGATCTTATTAAATTATGTTGTTTTATCGAGTCAACAACTTGATTCATAAATATGTGTGCAATAAACAATCTAAATAAAAATACTCATATGTTTGAATGTAGTTATGTTATTTTTAAAATGCTGAAGTATAAGACTGTAATTGGAGGCAAAGAAAAAAGGGGGGAGGGGAAGAAAGGCTTGAAATAGAGTTGGTTTCATTATCTTTAAAAAGTATGATTTCAGTTTTTCTCTTTCTTGCTTTAGAAGCCTTTCATGGAAGATTTCTTACATTTACTGGTTTTCTTAAATAGAAGACTTTTCAAGTTAATTTGAAAAATGAACTGGGTTCGATTCACTGTTTCAGAATAAGAATTAATTGAAATATGTAGCTTGGTTTTAAATAACTTCTTTTGTAAAGTGCCTCGAGATATTTGTGAATTTTTTCTATTTGAATAAACATCGTTTTTATCTGTGATATTGCTCTTAGGACGGGTTTTCAACTATAAAGAACATAGAAATTGATGCGGTATTTATAATTACTTCTTTTTACTTCCTATCCAATCCCTTTCAACAACTCCCCGCAGCTCGCTCGTGACGTGTGCTCGCGTGGGGTGCCAGAAAGTCCCGGAAGTTCGCGCTTTCTCATTTGCAGCGAGGGGCGCGAGGTGATTTGCTCTCTGTTCTGTTTACCTGTGCGTATCAGGGGAGCGAGAGAAAAACAAGCAAACATGCGAGCCGGAATATAGTGTCACCAAAGCTCGCTTCAGACCAGGTAATTAAATTAAAGTATGCTACTAATTGCATTTTAAATGTTTCTTTTGGTGACTTTATTTAACTATGGTTTTCATTGCTGCTTAACTAAATATTCCTTGAGTCATTTTACCACTGTCACATAGCTTTTGTGTCCGCTTAGTAATTTGTGAATTATATTAACTTGTTATAGTAATTACAAGTTTACATAAACACAAAAGTGTTGTTTGGATGTTCTTTCAAAATCTGGCAGCTCTTGCTGGGTGACATGCTGAGACTGCAGCCTGCTTTGCTCCAACAGAAACCTTTTTTTCATCAGCTTCATATCGTTGTGAGCCCAAACATTTCAAAGCTTGAATTTAAAATATCTCAGAAGAAACACAGCTTGATGACTTCAGAACATGACATCTCTTTGTTCTTTTTTCCTCATCTCTCTCGCATCTTTCCTGTTAAAATCTCTTCCTCTTTGTGTTTTCCCTGAGGAGGGGGGTTGATTGTTTGAGCAATACTCATGCAATAAGGTGGGCCAAGTCCCCTGCAGCTCAGCCCACTTGGTGGTGGGGAAATTATGTCAGTTCACATTGAACTTCTTGTAATTTCTGTCTCATCTTGTTTATTTCTGCCTTAACAGACTTTATTCTTTAACAAGTAAAATGATAGTTGCATGCATATGTGTCAACCAGTCAGCACAGTCACGCACAGCTCTATATTTAATGCAGCAGTATTTCAACATGCAAAGTGTTTGTGGTTTTCTGCAACTGCATGTCTCAAACCTTGTTCAAACTACAAACGGCAGGTTGAGTATAAATACACCATCCTTCCCTTCTTGGGAATATTGTGTTATTTTTAGGCTTTTACGGTCTGTCTTGTCTTCACAGAGCACTTCATGCTTAATTAAGGAAGCTGTCTCCCATTGTAGCTTGTTGCAACACTGACGTAAAAGAGAAGTGTTTTCTGGTCAAAGACGGCTCATTTGCTGTTCTCGGTCCTGTCCACATAGTAGCTGTTCAAGTGTTGTGCTTTATTGTTTGTTTGTACAGTCACCCTAGCACGTTTGTAATGCTTTAAAGCCGTTTAATTTTCTCTTTTTAACGTACAGTCTCTTTTGATTGCTAAGAAGGTGTCCAGGGAGGCTTACAAAGAACAAAATAACATGCAAACAGTCTATTTTTATTCCAGATTAATCAATTTTAATTCTGATAAACAGGAAGGAAGTGTCTTTATTAAGCTATGCCATCAGTGAAACATGCTTTGTCATGATCTTCACTTCAAGGAAATATCTCCAGATAATAATTAATGAGAATGCAGTGAATAATAAGAATCCAGTGAATAATTTGGTATTTAGTGTTGCTTTCCCTGAACCTTCTTTCATATTGTCTGTTGAGTCATTGTAACAGACTGTGTTTCGTC